AAAAAATGGGAAACCTGTACCGTGAAACGTGGCCAGAGTAAAAATCACTTCCCCATATGTTACAAAAAAAACAGTTGGACTTCGAAATGAAACATGTGGATTAGGATGGGTTCGTTTGTTTCTGGGCAAACCGTGTGGGTTGGGAAATCCTATTTGCTTTTCGAATGTGAATGAGCAAGTCACGCACTTCCCTTCTCGGTGTACAGAACAAAGTGCCACGCAATTCGGGTCAAATCAATCGCGAATCTAGATACCTCCGCCCAGATACAGAAAGTGATTTGGATACAAATGTCTGCAATCTGAATGTGGGTGGTGCAAAAGCCCGTCTCGTCATAAAACATGAGCATCACGCGTCGGGTCTACCTAGTGTTTTGGCTAACATTGTTTCACTTCCGCAAAATATCGAACAGAAGTTTTGTTCATAGATGTAGAATACACACGGAGTAACTAGTGCAGCTACCCGGGATAGTAATCACCTTATTAAATCAAATGAATTTCAATTTTTGACCGAAATTTTCCAGAGAGACGCTCTAAATCATGCACCGTATGGATAGAAGATCAATCTGCAAAAACTCTTGTTATTGGTCAACGAGGCAAGGACTGTACGCATAAAACTATTGAGGCAAGGATGATGGAAGCAGACAATGTGCACTTTTGCCGGGTAATGAGTACAGCCGAGCACAACACGGTGAAATGGTTAACCTTCCTGTGCGACTCAACAGAACATTGTAAACTACTTGACGTGTCCACGCTATTTCTGTGGATGTTATTTAACATCCTGTTACGGTGCTCCATCCCTCCAACGATGCGTCCTGATCCGACCGTGCGGCAAGGGACAGAGAGTTCGACTTATCATTGCTCCTCAAATCAGTTTCTGTCAAAATAACCGTGTATTTCCGAAAACCCATTCGTACCGGACCGAGTGATCTTCTTACAGATCAATGTGCATTGAAGCTATGATCACCGTCTGTTTGTGGCTCTACGATTGCTGTTGTCCCCGTCATAGAATTACAAACCTCAAATCCCGAATCGTAATACGAACGTAAGTCGAGCTTGATAAGTTGGGGGGGATGCCCGAACATCACGAAAAACGCTGGACGAACGCCAAACTACGGGTGGAGATAATCTAGAGAAGGCAGTAAACTACTGTCTAGAACAAACACTTGGTCCAATCAAACGTGACAGTAACCCGTAGCAAGCCCCTAAATTCCTAACATAACGGATGTTGGATTTATGAAGTACTTCAGAGTACTTCGGGTATCCGTGGGCACGACTAACAGTAGAAACAACGTACTACAAATAGCTTCTTGCGGAGAAGTTTCACCTAATACTACGTCTACTGGGAGGAATCAATGCAATTATACAGCAAGCGTGTACCCAGAGTACATACAGCATTTAATTCGTTATGGTAGACCGAGCAACTGGACGACGATGGACACAGAGGCACAAAAAATAAAACAAAAACAGGCATTTCGCATGTAAGGAAATCTGTTGTTCCCAGTTAAAGACCACCCGCAGACAGACGTTTTTTTCTGGGTTGGGCATGATCATACTATGCAAAACGGTAACAAATCCGAAATTGGATTCAATATGAAGGGGAGAGAGTGAGCGTTCTTCAGAGAACCAAGGACGGGGAATTGTGGTAGTAATCACGAAAATGTCGGACATCGGAAACAAAGCATCGCGAACAGTTGTGAACACGAAGACTGTTCATTTGGCTAACCAGCGGTGACCTTCAATAAATGATGTGATCATTCCACTGAAAAGATCGATCTACCCCTTTTCGCTAAGGCGTCATCCGAATGGAGTAGTCTATTGCTCAATCCTAGCTTCCCCGAGGTCAGCATTTCACTTGCTCGGATCCAAGCTTCGCCGTCGTCTGTCCTAGAACAGCATAGCCACCCTAATAGTCTGCAGCTTTTGTGCTGAATGGTACCACATCAGGTACAGGTCGAACTAAATCCCAGTCCCTTCAACTGTATGCAGTCAACGCATAGCTCCGTTCGCAATCCCCTCAGTCAAAATTCACTGACAACTGTGTGTTTACGCACCAATTTATTAGCCTCCCACCTCCAATGCTCAGCTACCTACCCCACCTCCCCAAATCATCGGTGGACGAAATTGTCAGCTACAACCACTGAACGACAAGTTCTTACAGCTGATAATGATACGCAGTAGTACCGATAGTAAACACACATAGCAGTGTGGATTCGTGCTTCAAGTGAGCGCACACTGTACAAACACAGTGAAAGATGCGTCCCAAGTAGTGCACATTATCACCAGAGAATAACAATGGCAAAGAAACACACTCACTGGTAAATTAGGTTAAGATTAATTATCCCCCTTTTAAGAATAGATGACAGAGAAGGGTACCAAGCAGCGATGTTATGTTAGGGGAGAAAATGTTTGCAGAAAACACACTCGTCTTTCGAAGCCAGCATCTAAAAGTTACCCGAATTTCAGCAACTAGATAACGCAAACTCCGGAGCATAGGATGTGGGAACATTGTAAAATTACTTTACGGATGATCAAGAAGTGTCATAATGGAATAAAGGGATGACCCATAGGTTGAATGTTATCGATTCATGAAAGACAGGAGAGTTTTTCTAAGCCTTGTTCGCCAATTTGTGGCTATTTGGAATGCATTTGGAATGCACACATTCGTAAAAGTGTTATGAAGTGGGAAGACCATCAATAGATACTGGAAACGCAGGTGGGCCATACACCGAATATAGTTAATGACGTTTCGATCACAGGGAGAGATCTTAACAAGTGACAAACGGTCGAGACATCATACAGTTTGACTCAATAATTTACAATGAACGGCACTCGCATCATAAACCTACATCCAACAGCGTCCAAACTCACCCTATCTTCCCGAACTCAGTCCGGAGAGGATCACGGTAGTTGCTTGAAAACTTTAGGCCGGACAGAGAACAACGAACCGAAAATATAATCGATTTATCAACAATCCATTGTAAGTCACCCACCCGTGATTCGCTCATTATCAAACACAGACGACCGTCGTAAACTTGGCTTTTTACTCAAAAAGATGGATGCTAACTCAGAGTGGAGGCGTTTAAATAGTAAGGGTCGCGTCAGATCAGTGGGATGGGACGCACAGCAATATAACTCCATATTGCAGCGGATTTCCAGGGCTTAATATTTTTCTATCCAGCGTTTTGGGTGACTAAAAGCTCATATAATGAGGAAACGCTTGGCCTGAGTCGCCGTTAGTGACCTCAAACCCAATCTCCATTGTTCCTATCCAACTTTTATTGTACCTACAGGGGACCTACAGAACAATCAGCTAAGGACCAAACGAAACTGACTCGCGAAATTCCTACAATAGCAAGAAACCAACAAAATAGCATTCCGTTTTTGTTTACACGCACCACCGTTCCCGTAGGAAACACGAGGGTTGCGACACTGCCAACTTGGTCCAGTATATTATCCATGATCAATAGTCACTTACTGAAGCAACAGGAAAAAACGGTCGACCAAATACGATAGATAGTCCGCTACCAGGTCGGTCAAATGGATAAGGTCGCTTGCGGCCCGGATTCAATCTTGCATGGGTTCCTGAAAACTGGTTGCCGAGCCCCGTCCTGATAAACTCCAAACGTGTCATTCCAGAAAGCATCACAAAGTACTGAATACTCTACTTAGATTATTGCTCGATATGGAGAAGTAACGTTGTGTTCCGTTCATACAGTGCACCCGAATATCGATCGAACTCAAACATACCATAACAGAGATTCAGCAGGCAACCCAAGGCGGGCGAAATCAGTTGCGCGCTTCTGAAGGGTTTCAAACAGCCTTATGAGTGGTGTGTGGAGTCCAGAGCCTAATACCTCACACGGACGACGGATACGGAATCGCTCATCTATTATTACCAGAAGAGTACTCAGTGATCATCCTCTTTTAAGAGCTCGTAGGGTTGGAGAAAATCTGGCCAAATGGATCGCTGGATCACCATACGCAGCCATTCAGAAACCAAAACCTGTAATGAACACGAGAATTACGGCACCCTTTATGAAAGACGGATCGACAAACTGAAAATCAGCTTACGTACCTCTCGAAACACCTAGAATACTTCCTTAGGGTTGCGTCAGTGATTCATCATGAATCCATATTGAAGCCTTTGTGGGATCCCACAAACTCTACCCATAAAGGATTCCTCTTAGTTGGTACTCATCAAGCCATAAGTGGAAGGTTCCGCGTGACCGATTTGTTCGCGACCCAATCGTAGTTTCGCCCCAAATACATAATTCAGTTCCAGTAGCGACATTATCAGATTCTCAGTGGGAGTCAATGATCGCTTAGATAAACAGCCTGACTTTTCGACAGTTATAATCCGATTACATCTAAGTGTCACCTAGCCGACTTTCGCGTGGTGACTTTCTTCGGACTGTTTGGCGTTTGCCATCTTCAATTTTCACTAAGATGTCCTTCCCCGGGGTGGAACTTTACAAGCATGAAAGTACCAGGCGGTCAAAATTAAGATATTCCCTTGCGTTTAAAACCAAAATACGAACTCCAGCTCACGATAATGTCTAAAATTCTTTATAAACTCCAGTAAGTGCGTGATATGATGTCAAAGGTGTCGAGACCCAAAGTGAGAGAGCCCTTATAGGAGTCGGCGAACCGATGATCACAACAATGAAGCGATGTTTACCGTTGACCAAGTTGCGCCAGGGAGCGATATGGCTCAGTGGTTAGAGCAACAATCTACCGACCGGAAGGTCCGTGGTTCGAAACCGACCTCTGCCTCTCGACTTCCCTGTCTAGGCTCGGGAAACCTGGTAATATGCCAACCCTCGTGGTTCCTTATTGTGGCATGGCGGTTGGGCACCGAAAGGACGCTACAGCTGAAAGACTTAAACGGCAGTGTGGTGTACAAGCTATAAATCGGATGCAAGCAGCATTGAGTGGGAAGATTTCTAAGCGAGATTCATCATCCGACCGGTAACATAAACGAACAGAATGGTGAAACATACCGTCTGCTCGCGGAGCGTTCGGATCAAGGTGCATAAGGCCGGTAGAACGAAGGCCAGCGGGAGGACTAAGGAACCAATCAGAACGCTTCTGTAGCCGTTCTAGCTGCCTGCGTTTGACAGAGTTGAAACATGCTACCTGTGGTGTAGCATGACGCGCCAGGGCCTGAAACAGATGGATGTTACATTAACTACAAAAAGCATACATTCATCGGTACAGAAATCTGACGAGATGAAAAACAGACAAGACAGACTGAGAGTTTTGTGAAACTGATGGCATCGAAATTGTCTGGGAAGTGGACGAAGGCAACTACGTAAGAAGCTATACACACTGGAGCCCACCTAGTCTGTTCCTCTCGACTAGCGCTAAAAAATATAGCTTTCTCGTACTATAATCACCCACGAGACCTCCGAAAGGAGGTTATTCTCCGCTGTAGTCTGCGACAAGCATCCCGTGCCAGATTCAAAAAGTATTTTTATCGATAGGAGGCGACTTCACGCTCGAGAAAAAAATAAAAAAACCCAAGACCTACAGGTGAAAACAGCAAAAACTACGTTTCACCGTCAAGATTACAGTTTTAAAAGCGTACGTTTTGGAAGTTTGGGATCGTTTCCGATCCACATAAAACTTGGTGCTGATTACCATCATCTTGTATGCTATTGAATAAAAGATCACTATCGAAAGCAGTGCTTCAAATTGACGCTCGGCGACAACGTAGTCAATTTTGACCACAAATGATTTTGATGGGGCGTATCCCTACACAGTATCCCAATCACTGGCAAGGGGTGCGAAGAAACGGGTTATTTCCTTAGGGGAAACGACTAGGAACAACTGAAATGAACGCATCATATCGGAGTTAGACGCCATTAGCAAGACAAAACCAGTCTTTTGTGAACCTCACCATGCTGACGCTCAGTGCAGACTGTTACGAACTCTAGACTGGCAGTCCGGCTATGACGTAAGGAGATCGCGCATTGTGGGGGCATACAACCGTGTGCAATTAAAACCACTCCGGCCTTAGTAAGAAAAGCACGCCGCTCGTGTTTCATGTCAGCTGTAGAGGGTTTGGGATGGGAAAGAACGATTTCTTTGGTAGACGGCAGGTGAATGTGCCTAGCACATGTCCCAACCCCCTCAGTCCGCTTCGTCCTATATGTTGTTAGACCAACTGGGACTAAGTACAAACGACTGGGCAATGTGATGCAACACAGGAACGGAAGCTGATAATCAAAGCGAACTCAAACCCATCAGTTCAAGATTTTGGCATCCACACTAGCCGACAAGAGCCGTTAATTGACACTCAACACTGATCTAGTTTGAAGGGGACTTACTGATTGGTTCCCCGTCTGTCTTATAACCTGGCCAATTTTGTGACCTGTTCACTTGGCCTGATGAAGCTTTTGTGTCAAAAGCGAAACGTTGCCCAAATAAAAACTACCGATTGTTTACCAAGCTCTTCTGAAACGATTATTTTAGGGTAGTTCTTTAGATGGTCAGACGGCTTTTAGCCACCACTTGATGTCAATTTTAGATCATGTAGGGTTGGAAAATGGATAGAAATCATGGTGGGAGCACTATGAACTATGAACAAAAGTGAGCAAGAAAAAAGATGCTGTTCAGGTTATCGATTAGCTGGAGTGATAACCGAAAATTGTATTCGCAATCGACGATGATTCAGACACGTTACCCTACGTCTACATCGACAGATCAACTCAGGGATGATTGAATATTTTCTTTTAGAAACCTGACCATGTATTGGTCCTCAATTAGTGCTCAGAAAAAAGATCAACTTTCTAGGAGGTTGGGGAGTCCTTTTCATTCAAGTAGAGCGAGAGCTGTTATAAAATGTCCGATGCTTGCGCCTTCAAAATGGTTAAGATTCCAGCAACAGAACAATGACATAGTCGATGCAAGAAGATTCGTGCTCTCTACGAGGTCTACATAGACCCGAAAGATTATTTGAATAGAAAAAGCCTTCGTAACCGAAAAACGCATAACTACATATAAAACAGAACCAGTATGAGAACTTTGAGTGTCCCATGAACAAACAAACAAACAAAAAATGCTCCAGTGAATTGACTTTTATAACAACAGGATAAACCAAAAAGTGCTACGAGCGAACAAGTGGACCAGAATGAAACACAACGCAACCATGGTAGCTGGGCCATCTGTGTCTGGATTCCTACGTAGTTAGCAGTGGGACTGATAATCGTAGAGTTCAGGAAATATAGCAGTACTCCGGCACAAGAAAGGCTTCTCTCTTGCGGAGAAACCAACCAGAGATGATTTCGTTTCACGGGTCAAAAGTTTCAAGGAGTCAACTAAGTGTTCCTTCCTAAGGGCTTATATAAGCTGAAAATCGGCTGTCGAGGATTAAAAACAGTAAATAGCGATAAATGACAAGTTCTCAGAGAGCACAACTGCGTTAATTAAGGTTGGCACTCTTCAAGTCATGGACGAAACCACCAACCTTGGTTTGTAGCTGTTCTCCGTTTGTTTGTCGAACCGGCTGGTCCGGAACTCGGAATCGAAAAGGGCTGGTTTGTCCGGGGGTAGCTTTGGAAGGAGGGAAATCCATAGTCTGAGGTTTGGAATCAGGCACATGATAAGGACGTAAAGGAGTAGTTGTGACACAAGTTCTCTTTTCCGATAACTGTTGAATTGCGTTGTTGGATGAGTTTGGGGAAGCTGGAAAAAGAGAACAGCATAGAAAAATGGGAACAGCTAAAGCATAGAATAGAATAACTCTGCACCCTCTAGGTGGATCAACTAGAAAATTCACAGCAAAAAGGCTTTCTCTAACCGGGAGAGGTGTCAACATTGCAGCAAGAAGAAATAAGTTTCTCCAGGCGGTCCCTAGGGAGATGAGCATATGTATCCGCGGTATCCCGTAAAATACAAGTGCCAGGAAACTAGCTGACGGAAGTGGAAAATACAAAAACAGAAGCCGGCGAGTGGGTGATAATAATAGTCGTTGCACGCGACTGATGTTTTTTCTAAGTATGAGAACGATTTTCATGAAATGACCATGCCGATGAGAAAGAAAGTCACAACTTTCCGGTGCAATTTAAAGCGTTAGATATGCATGCCAAACGTACAGTTCCGTCGTGTTTCACTCGATCATGATAAGGCGCTAACATGACTGACCCTGCTACACCTACCAGAGAAATCCAATCAGCATCAGACTGCTTACGTATATTCTGCTTGCACAATTACCATCTCTCAATCAAAGTCTTGTTGATCCAAGCTCACCAGATTCTTCAGGAAAAGCTGAGAACAACTGCTTGACTGCTCCCAGGAAGTTATTATTCCTGACAAACTGAACGCACCGACTGAACTAGTCCTCTTCCCACTTACATATTCGCACCACCTGGACAAACAGTGAAACAGGTGTTCCGAAGTTGATATGCGGACAGCACAAAAGAATTATCAGTGTATTGAACTGTCTGGCAAGTCTGGCAAACGTACTGATGCTATTAACACAACGTACTGCTGCAACATTGGCCGGGTAGCAAGTGTGCATGCACCGTAGGACACGTAGCGGTCGTTATAATTTACATTAGACAGATGAGCGGATAAGTAAACGATCGTCCAAGAGACGGGCAGTGGTTTGGTTACAAAGTTTCAAACCAACTTATTAAAAAGGAATTCGCGTAAGGGTTAGAACGACGTCGGTTGTAACGAGACTGTTGGCGTCAATTGTGCTTCGTCGCCTTACGGTGGCTCGTGAGATGCTGACTCGAGAGCAGCAAGCGGGATTCCGGCCTGGTAGGGGTTGTGTTGACCAAATCTTCACACTACGTCAGGTGCTAGAACAACGCCATACGTATAAGCGACCCACGATTCTAGTATTCCTGGATTTCCGAGGCGCATTCGACTCGGTTGATCGGTCTGTTCTTCTTGAGACGCTTGCCCACCAAGGAATGCCCCGCTCCAAGATAAAGGTCAAAGGTCACAATGGGACTTTATTGGCTCGGTCGTAACAGAAGATGAAGGGATAAGGTTTTTACTGTCTTTCTCCGCTTTGTCTAAGGACGGAGAATTACTCAGCTCGAAATCACCTGTGCACACCATTTGTAAGACAGGAAGTGCCAAAGGAATAGCAGATATTTGATGTCGTTCCTGTCTTCAAAATAGATGTTATATCTGAATATCAGCCAATTATCAGAGTGCCCGTTTGATCATGATCGCTTCCAAGTTGCCCACAGATATGATCCCACGCAGGAATACCAGCACCTTTGTGAGGAGAGCCGTGAAAACCAAGCAGAGTTCCGTTCGGGTCGTGGCTGCATTTACCATATCTCTACCTCACGACAACTGCTGGAGCATCGTCACACAGAAAAACAATAATTGTTGTTCTCATGTCTGAACGTAATGTCCGGCTCGGTCGCGCTGCTTTGTGGGGATGTCTATCTTTCAATGGTGTGCCACGCATTTTCTTCACAGTCCTCCAACCATCATACTATATACCTGCGGGCGCGTTAAGGTCTGCTGGGAATACTCTCCCAACATGACCAAAAGTGGTGCCCTTCAGGCTTACTGTTTGTCACCTTTTCTCCATAACCTAATAGTGGATTAATTAAGTGAGAAACTTTTGTTGTCTTTCACCCTAATTTTGGACCTTCTTTCCTGGGAAGCCCTTAAATTCATTGAATATTTGGCCAATGTTGCGCTACTTCTTTCAGTTTCCATTCAGATAAGAAACACACCAAATAACCTAAGTGATGTTACCATGCGTTTCGAATTGCGTCTCTCACCCTCAAAGTACGAAGTGCTATTATACGACTGGGCGAGCGCGCCACTAAAACAGGCTATGGTGTCAGAACCAAGTTACTGTCTGATTTCGTTTCCCCATCCTGCTGCATTCGGGGATTAAGGCGACCCGGTCGATGGCATGATTTCTTCTTCCAGGATGGGGACCGCGTGATCCTCGCTGTGCCTGGTTGGAGACACTACAAGATATGGCTGGCACCCGATGTCAGTGGCGTTCTTGTTGTCAGTTTCTGTCCAGATTGCCTGAGTGAATGTCTGGAGGTGTAGGCACCTCGGAATGATTGTGTTAAGCTAGCACTAAGTCCCTCCCCCATCCACCTTTATTCTTTTCTTTACAATAAGGCTTTCAAATAAGTCATGGCTGTACGGCAGTGAAGCATTGGTGTTGAGCACTGATGTCATGCTGTCGTTGATGATGATGACTATGTATCCATGGTTCTGAGCCTCCATGGGCGAAGCCAACCATTGCATTTTTTACACACGCTCGAGATTCGCTGCGCCCCAAAAACAGATTTTAAGCATAACAGTAGAAGATACAGTGTAAGCCGGCTAACAGTAAGACTTAGTTAACAGTAAACATCACTTGATTATTGTCATCATTGATTCGCCGACTCCTATAGGAACTCTCTCACTTTCGCTCTCTTGACACCGATAACTTTAACATTATACCACGTACTTACTGGAGTTTACAAAGAATTTTAGACATTACCGTGAGCTGGAGTGCGTGTTGTGCTTTTAAAATCAAGGGAACATTTTTACTTTGATCGCCTGGTACTTTCATACTTGTCAAGTTCCACTCCGAGAAGGATATGTTAGTGAAAATTGAAGATGGTAAACGCCAAACAGTCCGAGGAAAGTCACCACGCGAAAGTCGGCTAGGTGACACTTAGATGTAATCGGATTATAACTGTCGAAAAGTCAGGCTGTTTATCTAAGCGATCATTGACTCCCACTGAGAATCTGATAATGTCGCTACTGGAACTGAATTATGTATTTGGGGCGAAACTACGATTGGGTCGCGAACAAATCGGTCACGCGGAACCTTCCACTAGTGGCTTGATGAGTACCAACTAAGAAGAATCCCTTATGGGTAGCGTTTCAGTACGGATTCATGATAAATCATTGACAAAGCCCTAAACGGCCATTCCATGAGACTGGTTTCTATCAGACAATAAGTTCCTTTTTCAGTACAGGAAGAAACCTCCGAAAGTGGTGCAGAGTAAACGACAACAGCCCGGTGACCTGACAGCTTCCGAAATGACGCCGGAATAAGAACAATAAAGCGAATGAAAATTAGAACTAAAGAACTTTGGGACTTGCATGACCTTCAAGTAAAGTTCGGTAAACTTAGCGAGGTATTCGCATAGAAATGTGATTAACATCAGCAGCGAAATGAATGTTTTTCCATTAACTTCGCGTTTTTCACTGATTACCTTTCCCAAAAGCAATTGCGTTTGCTCGGCTCCTTCGGGTGGTTCCTAAAGAACAAGCCTGTCATGTAGTTGGTTACACTACTGGCGGTTTTCTCTAATCATGTTCATATGAAACACGACTACCGCCGCACACTAGAAACAGTCTATCGTACGATTCAACGGAATGTTCCAACCTAGGTTACTGCGTTATTTCGCATCGTGCATCATAGCTGAAGTCTTTCAGTTGAATTTATGAAGCGAAATCTACACATCGCGTCAACGAGCACAAGTCTCCTTACATCCTCCGAACTATGGCACGAGATGTACCTGAAAATCTACGGGTCCCGGGTAGTTCCACTGCGGAACTAACTCGATGGGGTTAGTTCGAATACAGTAATTAAACAACCTCCATCTTAAACATTGACTTTATGAATTTTACGCTTTCACACTGCCTGTCGTAACCACATTTTCACATAAACATGCGTAATCACGACTGTAGTGTTGGCGGCAGACGTTTAGTCAATATTCATCGACTCATCTGAGCAGTAGTTCGAAACACTGCTCGCACGATTGAGTAATACAGCCAACAAGCTCGATAATACATTGTTTTGTACTTTGTCTTACTCTACATGGGTTTCATATCCAGCCACGATTTCCTAAAATGCAGTCAAACGGCAGAACGCGAAAATGCACAATAACGTAGGTCGTATTGATCGATCAGCAGGCACGTTTCATTATAATTGCAGGTCCAGACATTGGAAGTACCACCTGGCCAGCGTCACACATTCATCAAACGACTTCTGTAGAACAGCCAAAGTTAACGGCGGAACATATATACAGGTATTAGCCGAAACGTGTAACGATCATGCCAGCGGCCTACGTATACTCCTTGGGTACTCGGAAGTGGGACGATGGATAAGGGATAACGGAAAACTAATCTGAGCACTTTTTCCATGACATACTATCCAGTTATTCCAATGTGTTATCTTAAACAAACAAACGCCATGTCGGCACACCAAGATAAGATGTTTGTGTAAATGCGAATAGTTCCGTCACGAATCTGTCAAACCTCAAGTGCTTTCGTCCCAGAGTACAAGTGGGTAAAAGTCGGGAAACAGTGTATTTCAGTCTAAATATTCTCAACGGGGAAAAACGCGCACAGATCATATAAGTAGCACTGTACACGCAGAAAATCAACTAACCCAATGATTCCCAATCCCACTCAATCCGTTTTCACCCACCATTAGGAGGTGGGACTCTGTGGGAAAGCCACCGTGGCATCAGCCTGATAGCGAAGTGTGAAAACCATTACCAGCAAACTCAGATGCGATGGTCCCTGCCGTCTCCTTGGATGGAGATCCCGAGACGGGCCACATCAATGGTTAGACAGACTATCAGACATGGTCCAGTCCCGCTCTCCGTGGCGCTCGTGCATCCAGACCATTGCTTTCAATGCATACCTCCTCTCCCAATCCCCACACTTAAAAGTTCATTGACACACCTGCATTTACGCACCAACTTATCATCTCGCGCCTCCAATGAGCAGCTACCTACCCCATCTCCCTAAACCATCGGTGGACGAAACTGTGGCAGCTAGAACCACTGTACGACAAGTACGCGGTGATTATGATTGATAGCGATGATGACCATTAGGAGGTGTCAATACATTCGAACATATTAACATGAACTTGAAAATACACATGTATGCTTACTAGTTCATAAAAATGCAACCATATACAAGAAACACTTGGGCAATCAGTTGGAATGGTACGAAGTAACGTCACAATTTCGCTTTGAATAACGATCCTCTCGATGTGGAAAAAGGACGTGATATATCCGAAAACCCAAGCTTGTGGAAAGTGAACCTAACATGATATAAAAAAGGCACACTAGTTTTCAAAATTGTAAAGCTCAAGGTTGACCTTCTACGAATTTTGGTTTTATTCACGAATTTGCTGCATTACACCGACAGAAGCAGCAGGCTTTGACAAGTCTGACTGATCAAAGCAGTGATGCCGGAGTTGGTTCACCATCGTCTGACTAAACACCTGAATCGTTTTCAGGTATTTCTACCAGTCTTCACTGCAGATGCGTCTATCCCAGGGAACTGTAAAACTGTGGCGTCAAACTCATTCCATTTGCTCTACGGCCGCAGTTCCTCATTCAATTAATGTCTAATTCCGAAGTCGAAACCACCCATGAGAAGTTTCATGGCATCATTACGATTTTCGGCCCATTAACTGAAGTAAGTAATCTGGATTCAGACCATTAATACAACATGGAAACTAACCATTATACAAGTAGCCTGAGTGACATCCGTCGTCAGCGACAATAGAAGAAATGACCTAAAAACGAGCAACGCACAATTTGTTCCTGAATCTACTAACCCGAATTGGAACCATACGAGTTCGGTGACGCTGCTAGAACATTGTTCCCAATGCGTAGCTAAATCAATCCGCTGTTCTCCTCATCAGCGGTTACAGAGACTGATAAACGAAACCACGTAGTTCTGTACACGGTCTATAGCCGACGAAAGAACTGAGGTGTAAGTGGGAAATTCTAATCATCCAGCCGGTAAGAATAAGATAAAGTTCCAAATAACCAACAGAGAGGGTGAAATAAAAAAGGACCTATTTACCTGTTGATAAGATCACAGGTTGCTGGTGCGTTGTGTCAGTCGTTTGAGTGCTGCCTCTTCGAGGAAGGATGGGTGTGGAAGTAACACTGGATTTTGTTTGCATTACAGTGACACCGGGGGCGTTGACTGCCTGCGCAGGTCCGGAATAGGCATGATGTTGTGGGCTGTGATGACGAGGATCGTCGCAAACCCCACCCGACTGGGTAATCGCACAATCGCAACTGTAAGACGAATTATCCGCCAGTCTTGAGGTTTCGCTAGAACACGAGACCTTTTTAACACTAGTGTTGCGCGAGCAGGTAGCTTCCCAATTGGTGTTCTCAAACACGTCTTTGGATACCGCTGTAAATGTTGCAACCAATAGTGATAGTGGTGATAAGGACATTAAATTTCGGTCTGCTGGTCACAGATCAAAGCAAATTAGATTGTGAAAGTGTAATCCTACGGCACTGCAAAATGGACTGCAATTATTACTATACAGTAATGGTTAATACCAGCGAGATCATGTGGACGGTGCAAGCTGATAAACGCAATTTTAGATCAGCGGCAACAATTTGAGCCATGATCGATAACCGTTCTGTATTCAGGGCCTGCGGATCCTAATTATCGTCCCAAATCGATACTGGAACGTTGACTGTGAACACAGAGTTGGAAGCACTAAATCACAACCCTAACGGGTAAACGGTATTTCGACAGGCGTAGGCAAGGTATTCCTGAATTAGGCTCAAATCTCCGTCTAAACCCAGTAAATGGGGGCGAAACCTAAGCCTATCATCGAAATCAACCAAGCAGAGTGGATACGGGCCACCTCATGTCACTAACAGTCAAACCCTTCAACACTGTTGTAATATCCACCGACGGATGGAGCATGTGTCCATGAAAAAGGAAAAAGATAACAGTTTCCAAACAGTAGGTGCGTGCGGAATACTGTTTTCAGGCTCGATAGTCCGGGTCGCTACATTCTAATCATAAGAGTGCGACAACGGGTCGAGTGGTTAGCAGACGACTAACTACGATGGCGTCTAAATGTACAGCCAATAACGTGCCGATATTTTTCTCACAACAGCGACATCGCTCCCACAACCGGTTGGTAGTCTTGAATTGGTTGCTTCCTTAAGTTCATAAGCCACTTTATTGAAACCCGCGGTAGTTGAAATCCGCCACGACAAGCACATTCAAAACCGATCGGGTTTTGAGTCCATGCCAAAATGAGTCCAAATAACCGGGAGGAGTGAAGATACTGGCGTTTTTCTGATTGTGATTTTTGGCCTGGACATTCAAATCAGTTGTTCCACGATCAAAAAGGTCCACCTCAAAAACCAAAGAAAACGTGAAGAACCACATTTACTTTTGCATGAGTCAAAGGCCTGTATTCTAATCCCTTTATCTAGTCTTTCGGCCCACCATTTGGCCTGTTTTTTTAATCTGTTTGAAGTAGGAACTCATCGTTGCATGCCTATACTAATCGCATTTGAATGTGACTGGATCAACTGCATTTGGACTCACATATCGCGTCAGCTAATAATCGGCCCCTGGAAATCAGTGTATCACTACATAGAAAGTAAGCAGGGCCGTTACTAGGACAAATAGTAGCTAAAGGATCAAATAAAACATAATGAGCCATATGGATGTAAGTCCTCTTTTTGGGAGATAAAACCCTCAGACTGAAAATCATGATTATACACCTGGATGACTCAAAAACTGCACAATGTCAGTCAACCAAGGTATCAGAGGTCTGCAATGTTGTATTTCTCCCTGGAGGAGTAAGCAAATCCCCTTCCTCTTTTTGCAGTTTAACTGATGCTCACCGGACTGCACCTGTTATGGAAATCAATCAAGAGTGATGCGATTGGTTTCCACACACAGCGTTATCGTATAGCTAATTGTGTGAACTTGGTGAGCATATGTGTGTCTAGCGGCACACGTCCACGACAGTCCAGCCAACAACTAAGCTCTTCGGCCTGAATTGGCTCCAGCCATTGTAACCGCTCCTCGATAAACGCGCAAATTAGTCACACTAAACACACTTATTGCACATGGATGTCACTTAACATACAGGACGAAGCAGAAACAGAAATAACGGATAGAGCCACTACAAACACCAAGGGTGAGTTCGAACTTCGGACCCCTCGCTCCGTGGCTCTCATCCTTAGCATCCACTGAAATCAAGCTGTGGAACGTGTACTGAATGCGTTCAGTGGACAGCACAAGCTTCATAATGAAAGTATGTACACTGAAGAGGGAATGAAGAGAGTTGGAAGCAGGTGAGTGGCACAGAAAGCAGCGGAAACTCGGGGCGCAAAACAAACCGGTTAAACAATGTTTCACATATGAAAAGAATGGCACTCTGAAACTGGTGTGTGAGAATACAATTATAGACCGGATACTCACCGTCGCGAATCAAATGGAATCCGTGTTTCTTGCCTTCTTCGAGTAGGAGCCGCATGAAAAGTCGGACTGATTTCTCCCCTGGAAATTCATGAGCAAAAAGAGTTACTAAACACAGATCAACGATTCGTGCTTTTGCATCCATTAGCCTTACAATGAATGGTGGCCAACGGCGAAATGTTAAATTAGTTCCGATATTTTAACACTCAATCCCAATAGGTAAAGTCAAGATAGCCCAAGAAAGTGTGAGATGGCTCAGTCGCTAAAATGCGAAGTAACCGACCAGAAAGTTGGCGGTTCGAACCCAACTTCACTGCCTGACTGTTACTGTTTAGGCTTGGACAACCTGATAGTATCTTAAACAACATACCTTCTTCGGGTGGCGTGGGCGTTACGCACCGCAAGGGTGTTACACATGAATAATTTTTTCGGACAAAAGTCCAACAAGACTTAATGAGGCGCTCCTACAATGCCAGAAACCGAGCAATTGTTCCGTCATATGTAATTTTGGTGACCAATTAAGATTCAGGCAGGTTCCATTCTGGTATATACCAAAGAAACCGCATAAAAAAGAGAAAATCACAGAAAGTCACTACCCCCTCCCCCCATACCCATCATACGCTGTATAATAAAGTCGAATAAACACCTAAAAACCATCTTCAAGTGGACGGTTCTGTCCCGAAGAGTAGCAAAATACTGTGTTTCCGACTAAACATTTGTTAGCTAACCAGCGGGAGCGCTATTCACGGATCATGGAAGTCGCACGCAGAGCGACCGATGGATGTACACGCATTGGTCCAATTTCTTCCGAGTAGGCAATTTGTTGTGCAGGTATATATCCCTTACTCTCTTCACGAGTTAGAGTAAGATAACGAAATAATAAGGTAATGACAATCGAAAACTTCCTGTTGTGATATCGGCTGACTTCTGCCTTCAGAATGGAGAAGAGTAGTTCAGTTCCAATGGAAAACGTTTGGAGTTCAGTTCCCTTTCTCAAATAGGAATTATGTGCGTGTGCATATGGTGGTTCACCTGAATCCAACCTTTGGTGGCCTACCAAAAAAGGATCCCACTTGGAAAACGAGGAGTAGTGGTGCTGTAATTCTACGATTTTGGTGACGGAGTACAGCAACAGGTAAGGTGACTGTTAGACTCCCAGGAATGATACCTTGCACATTGGCGTCTTTTCCGATAGGATCCAAACCGAGAAAAAATACGAAACGAATATTCTGAATCAGTGGTCTTGCCCTGAAAACATCCAAAACGTAAATGCTCCTTCCATACTTCGTTCCATTGGTGAGAAGATTAAAAATGGAAAAAAAATTTGAATTCCACATCGCTAAAGGCTGCAGAAATAAGGGATGCCTCCCCCAACTAATCCACCAACGTATACAATTCGTACTGAAAGGCGATCGTCACATTGCATAACGCTTGTAGCTCCGACCGAGGCATGAAACAGCTAGTTTCAGTCATCAATATCATCATGAGAGACAGCGACATGAGTGCTGACACAGATTCTTCACGGTAGTACAACCCTAAATTTGTTTAATTATAATTAAAGCCTTAAAGTGAAAAGAACAGAAGGCAACGGGTGAGGGGGACCTAGTACTGGTCTATCACAAGCATTGTGAGCTGCCTACATCTAAAAACGCTAAATCAGACAATCTCGAAAGAAACTGACACGACGAAACCAACTGTCATCGATCATCCTGGAAAGTGGACCGCAGAAGTAACACCCAAGCTCTTCGTAATCTTTTTCACGCCCTTGTGTCAATTCGCTTTCCAAAAACCAACTGTCATCGATCATCCTGGAAAGTGGACCGCAGAAGTAACACCCAAGCTCTTCGTAATCTTTTTCACGCCCTTGTGTCAATTCATACGCTTTCCAACTCACCGTTTCTGTCATTGTGAAAGAGGCACGGAGAACAACATTTGTCTCGTTAGGCGGCCTATCAGGATGCGTACCACACGGCCGAGCAACCACTGTTGATGATGTTGGATATTTTCCACAAATGAAGCATCCACCGCACAATCAAAAAACTGTTCTCTAATCACCTTGTTACGAATTCCTTGATGCCATCCTACATCAGCTTCTGAGGCATCGATAGTTAAAAACTTGAAGGCGCCTTATACAATCCGTCCGCAGAGACCACGTCTCGCAACCGTACGTTTATACAGCCTCTACTGCTACACGTGGCCCTTGAGCCCCAGTGATAAACCTTTCTGACGCCACAGGTGACACAAATTAGCAAACGTGATTCGGGTCTTCGAGATTCGTGCACTACCTTCATCAGGCACACTTCCATCCGAATTAATACAACTATTGAGGTATGTAAAACTCTCCACTGCCTCTTCTTGAATTGTAAGGGACACGTTCAGAGACTGCGTGTTCTGCGCAAGACGCGTGCCTGGGTATGGTAGTATGACGGTGGTCAGATTATTTAACAGGACTTGTGCTTCTCCTTCTTCTCTTTAGAAATAAGAGCTACATCGTCTGCGTACTACACATCGACAAGAGGCTTGCCAGAAACGATTGAAACATCGAAGTTTTTAAGACCCACTGGTGTTGGCCTCATTATTTCGTCAGCGATGAAGCTGAACGAGAACAGAGTGTGCATCCTTGTCGGATACAACCATTTTTGGGAAGCTCACAAAAAACCAACCACATACTCAATGCCCATTAGAATGTGAATATAGGAAAGGGATTATGTTCAGAAACTTCTGGGGCATGCTCTGCAGAGTGAATGTGGTTGACAGCACTGGTCGATCGACAGAATGGATCGCACACTTGAAATCAAGAAACACCAAGATTGTGGGTCGTCTGTACATATGGCATTGCTCTAACAGCTGACAAAGTTTGAAGATGTGGTCCACGCAGCTCCTGCCTGGCCAAAATCCCGCTTGATGTGCAAACATCAAATTTTCGCGTGCCACTGTAGAACGACGAATAATCAGTGACTCGAGGAAATCAAACTAACACCTCCATATTCACTGCGAGTAGCCTTTTTGAAAATGGGTATTAATATCCACTTACCCCAGCTGTTGGCCTCCCCGATGCACTCGAACAGGCTAGACAGGCACTGGCTGAGGAATCTACCACTATCCTGGAACAAAGCATCTGAAAGGTAGTCAGGACGAGAGGCACGATGATGCTTCGGTAAAGATGTACACTCGGACTTAATTTTCACATCCCACCCATCTGTTAAAAGTCGGATTGGAGATAGCAGGTGTTCGAAGTAGTGTGCCAACTGGTCCACATATTCTCCTTTGCTGGATATCTGGGAGCCATTTGGTCCTTGATGGCCTCATTGACAAAAGTCCTCCGAGGACCAGTCGGACGAATATATTAAAACAACCTGCAAGAGTTTCCAGTGTTTTTCGATACTTGTATTTCTTCGACTTTGAGAATCTGCCAAGCTTCCTGGTCTGCACGGACGACAGTGTCACCCGGCGTCCGATGATGCAGCGAGTTGAGTTTTGCTTGCGGTCAGGAAAAACCTGGCACCAGCAGGACCAAAGTCACGGCCCAATCAGAGGTCCACTGCTTGGATAAGGTTGGCTGAGTTGTACTGAATTGCGTAGTGCTCCGTCAATATCCGACATCGGACCATACGGCATACCTTCGGGGAGTCGGGTCTGATAGATACGTTTGATTTTTTGGTGCACTAGTTTCTTAACGGCTAAGCAGGGCGTGTGCGTCTTGGGTAGACCTCAAAAGCGCAAAGAAAAGCAGTAGAGGCCAATTCCATACAGGTATTCCACGATGAAAGGCAGACGGCGAAAGAACTTCTCACCGGCAACTGATAGTGCTGTGGTTTATTTGGATTCGGCGCTGGTTAGTTGTTGTGCGCCATGTGGTCAACCGACTTCTGTTGTTCCGAAAATCGGTACTGCATTTGTGATTGGCAGCCGCTCTTCATTGCCTGTACGCTTCGTATAAGCAGCCGTAAACCTATTTACTCCAGGTGCACCAGCGACGACTTGGATATCTGCGCATTTAAAAACAGAACCCCGGAGCACCATAGAAGCTAAGTTTGGCAGATTTAGGGCTACAGTGCATCCAGCGTAAGCGGATGCAGTAGACGGGGAGCAATGACCATCTTTTGGTAAAGTAGTTTCACGGACGTTTCCAAACGAATCGCGCAAGGACGACTATCAACGGGTAACCAATCAAGCAGAACTCTTCCACTCGATCGTTTGAAACAACTTCCACCCCGGCATATCCGGCTGCTGCAGCTTCCACGTCACCGGAAGCGGAAAGAGAGCGAGAGGGTCATTAATCAAACCACAACATTTGCGTCCTGTATCCTTGTTTCTGACAGACAGCATACATCAAACAGGAGGTGAGCATACGGGCAAAAGCCACTTGTCCTGTCTGTTTCAGTATGCATACATGAAAGGCAGCTCAGCGGGTGTGAAAAGAGATTTCGAGGCAATTTGGGTTATTACTGGAGCCGGATGCACAAAAGCTGCAGCTGAGTGTGATGCACGCCAAAATAATTGCCAGACCTAGTGATTGGATTAGCAGAGATTATTCAACCTGGGATGGTGTAGGGTAAAAGAGGGAATACGTGGGTGTAAGAAGGGAGGCATCAACAGTAGCCTGTTTTCGCTTACAAATCCTGTTGTATGCAGCCAGTAAGACGACCCGGCTAGTGAGCTCACGCGACGGTCGACGTGGTAAGAGAGTATTGTTACTGTAAGTATCAGGGTTGCGCATCGCTGTGACACTGCCAAGGCGCCCACACCTAAACAGGAGGATGATTATTGTACTCGACCAGATGCTTTGGCTCGAAAGCCTGACCGCAAGGCACCGGTGTTTGGGGACAGAGACATTGGATTAGCAGAGATTATTCAACCTGGGATGGTGTAGGGTAAAAGAGGGAATACGTGGGTGTAAGAAGGGAGGCATCAACAGTAGCCTGTTTTCGCTTACAAATCCTGTTGTATGCAGCCAGTAAGACGACCCGCCTAGTGAGCTCACGCGACGGTCGACGTGGTAAGAGAGTATTGTTACTGTAAGTATCAGGGTTGCGCATCGCTGTGACACTGCCAAGGCGCCCACACCTAAACAGGAGGATGATTATTGTACTCGACCAGATGCTTTGGCTCGAAAGCCTGACCGCAAGGCAGCGGTGTTTGGAGAGAAGAGCAGGTGCATTGCCATTTTTATAGAACAAGTTGCCGAGCACGCTTCGAGACCCAAACTGGAGGCCACAGGAACTGTTTGTCAAACCGTTAGCCATCGACCAACCTGGTATGAGACTGTGAAAGTCGCACAGAGAGCACCAAGCATAGCTCAAAGGGTTACATAGGCATACAAATTTTTACACCAGCCGAGCTTCAAGTTAACACTTAAAGCACACAAAACAGTGGCACTACTTGGATCTCGCACAGAGATTCCCACCAGTCTCGGATAAATTTCAGCCCGAAAAATTTTCAGGCATCAAGGGATGACTGTGATGTCCGGGGTATCCTGAGGAAGGAAGTGGAAGAGAAGAATATCAGGAACGCCCGAAGACTATCCCAATTATTCCGAGCAGCTGGCCTTTGAGTGGAATCTAGAAAAAATGAGATGAAAGGGAAAATGACTGGATGGTCGTTGGTAAAAACAGACGCCTCAATCAGTGGGTTGCGTATCTTGGACAAGAAGTCTCGTGGTCACCTTCAGCTGCTAGTCTGTGGTATTCTCGTAATGTATTAGAACCCAAGCATTCCCTTCGAACTCGGAAGTGCATGATTGTTTTTCGAAGTCCACCGGAATACTAGGCCAGATGACCTCCCAGAAGCATTCATTAAGGATATGAGTAGAGTCTTGAGTGGGTGTGTCCATCCTGTTCGCCTCTGGGAGGAGACTGCTCCGCTGAAGTGGATCGTGAATATCATAATTTTTCCGTACCCTTAAGCCTAAAGATACGTGAGGATGTATGGGAGCTCTCAGAAAGCCGCGCTGCAGAACGTGGTATCCGAAGAGGATGCTCAAATCACCATCGTTCTTCAATGTGTTTGACCGAAGAGATCTCGAGGGGAAGGATAGAAGGCCCTGGAAAGGCCAGAATTCAGACAATTCCTGACAAAAACCTCAACCTGGAATTTGTGGCTGTTGTCCACGTCCGCAAAGGAGACCTACGTGTTTTCAAATGTACTGATGAAGTTGTGCCACTCTCCGTATCTACAAAATCATACCCCTGGACACGCAGTCAATTGATATGTACGGAGGAGCACTCGACTTTGTGGGGCATTGTGGGGCTGTGTGTGAGCTCACTATAGTGTTATGAATGAGGTTCATACACGAATTACGAGTTGCGTTTGCTAACGGCGACAAAAGAGCGCATCACTGAAATCAAGCGCCGGGTACCGGGCTGCTGGACTGGGTCTTTGTAATCAGTGGAACTCAGATGTCTTCATAACTCAGAACCATACCTCGGGTGGGCTAGTGCAAACGAATCAGCAGCGAGATAACTTGAGGACGAGTATTCGGTTATGTGGAAGGGACATGAGATAAAGAATATGTGCAGTACAAGAAGTCGCGGTACTCCAATCGCGTGTTGAGCACGTTAAATGAACATCTGTGAAAAACAGTACTGTCATCCATGCCATCAGCAAAGTATTCTTTGACGCAGTGGAAGGGTATGAAAGCATAGTTCAGGAAATGACCTGCATGATTTTCGACGGTGTTTCATTGATGAGCGGAAAAACGAGAGTTGCCACAATCGGGATTTCTCTGAGCCCTCTATGTTGTTTTGTGTAACTGTTTGGTAAGGGCAACTTTCAGTCCTAACCTCTTTTACTCAACCCTTTCGGAAAGGCTAACAATCAATGTGATCAATTTTGTCGAAGACAGAGACCTGCGCGGTTAACATACATTTACACAATCAATCTCAACCACAAATTTCAAAAAACATTGTAAACATTTCAAAGGTACCCTACAATGACTTTCCTGTTGCTCATCTGAGTGATTACAGATATCCCTTACAAAGACGGTAGTGAAGGAGTTCCGACTTTCGACCATTCGCACTCTTGAGGCGATGGTCGTAATTTCAAAGAGCTGCACTTAGCTCAACCTCTTTATGTCCCAGAGCCAACTAAACTGATGACAAGGATTATATTCGCTTTGTCAGACTGTCCCCATTGTAGTGTGGTGCGAGAAATTCAGGACAGATGCATATTATCAGCTGCGAATAGGGTAGAAGCTACATCGGGGCTCACATTGTGCCCCATGACCCGCCCAAAATATAGGCTTGTAGCTAGTTTGACACGGTGTGGGTCAACCATAGATACCACAGGCAGAAATCAATGAGGGTGAACGAACGTGAAAATTTCAACCACGACAACGCACTAGCTTGGAACGAAATAGCACAAAACTCACGCGGTACGTCTTTGGGAAACCGGAATTCGTATTTGAACTTTTCAACCCTGGATATGCTGGTTTTTGTTTCCGATGTGAAATACTGAATCAGTTCACGACTAAAAAGGTCAGCCGACGCAAATCCCGTGATCAGATATTCCATCACCTTGGAAGCCCTCTCAACCTGAAACAATGGGAATGAACCATTAAGTCTACGAATGGATATGAACCTAAGAATGTAGATAGTTTCTGTCCAAGATGAACGGCTGAAAATGCATTCGTCGTGCTCAACAAAATGATTAGCAATGAAACAACTCGCTGACTTTTAACAGTTTCTTGAAGAGGTCGCTTATTTAAATACAGCGCGATATTCAAACCAACGAATCCCCTGTTCACGAAAATCCAACCGAACTTGTAGTGCAAGAGTTACATAAGGGCTCATCATCAGCGTTATCATTTTAGGCGACCATCCATTGTCCTATGCGTTCTCTGAGCCGGATAACCATAGACGAAAAGGAAGGATCGGAGGAACTAAACAAGGGGACAAGTGAGAACGGTCAAACAGTGTTATATGGACTGAAAGCAGAGCACTACATGGCATGCTGGTTGATACAATCCTGACAATGATTGCTACGCGTTGCGCGCAAACATCAGTGAGGGTTGTCGCCTGGTACTTGACCCGGCAAATGACGTTGCGGTCAAGGCTGTCGTAGCCCATGATCGTATCGCAGATGATCACCACCCCGATTTCAGTTCAACTGGGGCTTCGTACACAACGTCGTGTGTGGCTGCTGCCCCAACAACGTTCGGGAAACATTACCGATCCTACAAAGATGGTGAATTTTCGGCAGATCCGCTATTCGGGTTGTATTTGACCTATTGCCAAGTATACGTTCGAGTATTCCGCTGATCTGGAAAGATAGCTTGATGGAAGACAGTTGGCATGAGCTGTAATGTTCGAAAACCAAGAGCTTACGTGCATCTCCTTTGGGAAGAGGCCAGGTTTCCGAACCACAGAAAAGAATTACAAAATGTCGCTGGAAGATATATTCCGATAACACAATTGATAAGATACAGCATACGCACATTCACATTTGCTGAACCTGAAGGCCGCTTCGCCCACAACATGAATACAAGATACAACACTTCCTCAACAGCTGAGTTAGTCGAAAGTCTCAAAGAAGACCATTCCCCGGACGGAGAGGCGGATTAATCCTGACCTGGTCTCCGTGAATTCCCATCATCGTTTTCAACAGGAGAATGGAGTGAGTTATCCATGTACTCGACGTCGGTTAGAGAGTCGACTAGGATAATCTCTGTTCGTTTGGTTTGGGACGATTGAGTGTCCCATTATACATTCAACCACGAAATTGAAAAGCAAGTGGTCTTTGACAGACTCTCATTGGTCTGGAGAACGCTGAATACGTCCGTACACTCTGGGTGTACTACGTAAATGAGCCCAAAAATCGACCGAAATAGTTCGCCTGTTTATCACCTGTTTATCGCCTGTTTATCAAGACGGTGGCACAAACTGTGAACTGGAGTGCCAAACGTTCTTACGTAAGGCACCTGTTATTTGGTCTTCGATAGGGGAAGCTGCAGACACCTGGGAACGAAGTTCGGTCGCCTCCGGATATGAAGAAATTTTATATTTATACTGATTCATCAGCACAAAAATCACACGGCATCGTTGACTTCAACCCATCAAACGAACCTAAGTGGGAGTTTGTGGAAGACAACACAGGTGAAGCTACGAACTTGAGAGTCCTTGCCATACCAGCTTTGAGAAATTTGCCTGAGGAAACAGATACTGAAAGCACCAACGTGCGCGGGTTATCAACATCTTCGAGTAACAAAAAATGACAGAAAAATGGTAGGAAAAACTGCTCGCCTGGGTTGTCCGAAAACTTTCTGCTTCTCTTGGAGAAAGGCAGCTTCGCTGCTCAATCGTCGAGCTGTAGCATGCTTTCGGTACCTAGGCGGCACGCCAGCTGAAAGAAGCACGAGTGCTGAGATACCACCGAGAACTTTCGCTCTCCCCAATTACATAGCAAAAGCTCGAGTGAATATTTCCAAATCCCATCATACTATTGGCGTAGGAGTGCATGATTTCTAGGCTACTTTAACTGGGGTGTATACGTTCGCTGGTGTCTAACTGTTACATGATCGCGATGTTATTTCCTCCCTGTTCTACAAGATGCATACGTAGACGTCCAAATTCTTTGTTAGAATTTATGAAGTGCGGACCAATTGTACCAGCATGATTGTCACTCACTTATTTTTCAAAGATAAGCCAGCAATGAAGATGGTGTATGACAAACCTCATGCAACACAAAATGGACGTACTTTCTGCGGTGAAGTAGTACACGTGGGAAAAATGGACCCAGCTACGGATTTGGCTACGGCCTCAACAGACATCGCGTTAACTTCGGTGTGATAGATCATGCGAAACCAGATTCCGAACAGCAGCGCCAACAACTGTTGTACCGGTTTGGGTTGCGAAACGATTACGCTGGACGGAAATTGCATATGAAGAATTGAAAGAGGCGATTAGTTGGACACAGTTTGTAGAATTCGCGAAACAAACTATTCATGGAATGAATGAGCAAGTGGCCAACACTGTGAATGTCTCCTGCTAAAATAGAACGACAAAACCATGAGCTACCCTCATATTCGCCTGCTATCAAGGGATAGAGAAGTACGTGCGTTACCGTGCTGTCTTACGGACCAGGTTAATCAACAGAATGCTCCAGGTGGAGACCCTCAAGAAGACTTTCCATTCCGACCTGAGTCTGGTAGTATCCTGACTCAAGATAATTTATGGACTACTACTATATCTACCGTCAGCATGTTTTTTTTAAATCGTGCTCTCAAACACACTTGCTTATTCGCTGCATGCGAATTCTCATCCAGCAGTAAACAGCTTTGCACCATACATTTAGTAGAAGGTCGACTTTAATCTTTATCAATTTATGGTCTTTCCACCCGGTTTTGCCACTCAGTAATCCCAGGACGAACCCACGTATTTTCCATATACCCCGCCCGCAACTCTCAATAACAATAAAAGTAAAGTAGATGATCGTTCAGCTGCAATATCTTTCGATGTTTAACTGCCATGCTACTCGAAAGAAGTAAGATGGCAAAGATACTAGCAGGCCGTCCAAGCCTAGAGTGGGCTAGTCGAGATGCTCGGGGTTGTGTTCAAACCAGGAACCTTTCCGCTAGTAAGTTCACATCTGAATTACAGAACCATCTTGGGCATCTTTCACTATTCGCAACCTACCGTTCATCAGTGAGGAGTCGAAAGGCGGAGGTGGGATTCGAACCAGGGACCTTCCGGTCAGTAAATTCGCGCTCTAACCACTTGAGCCATCTCGCCCAAGATACCTGGAACTGAGATGTGCTTTCCTTCTGAGACACGTCTACAAGATTCATCTATTGGTTGAAATCCAGTCTCCTCTCCGGAGTGCCAGAAAATTCTGAATGTGAATTTCATAGGACTCGATTGCCACTTCTTTGTGAAGTATTATGCTGGAGTTAAAACAGGAACTATTCATTCGTGTGTTCATTCTATGTGACTTCACTGTTTATCAATGTCCCCATACCTAAAACACAATTAACAACAATCAACAATTAACAACAAGTAACTGTGATGACATGGAGGTGGGTTGCATTCAGAATTCATCTCCTTGAGGTAGGAATTGAATGTCCGCTTCGGGCTAAAATAAAAGGGAGGAGATAAGCGTACCGTGTCTTTAATAGCCGAACACACACCCACTGACCGTAGTTCGGATGAGATGAGATTATCAGCAATACTTATAAAAACTTCTTCGAAATGAAAGAAAGTTCGACATCGTGGTATTGGCCGTGGACCTAAACACCAGAGCAAGCCCATTTTGAAGAGCTAGTCGTGTCCAGGTGATCCCTTAAAACCGGACAGTCTACTCAGAAAACACCTGCTATGCGCAGCTGCATTAAGAGTGAGACAATAATGCCTTACTTCCTGCGCCCTCAGCCCAGACCAGCCCCCTGGAGCCAAGTGAGTCAGACTATTGAGTCGTTGGCTCCGGGTAAGGTCCCCCAAGAAAACCCTAACAACTGCTGTCTCACGGTTGAGAATTTCGGGACAGGGTCCCCGAAAGAAAACCTTACATCCTCCCGCTGGTTTGTGAGCCAGACACCTTAGGTAAAGGTTTCTCAACTGAACCCGCTTCTCCGGCCTGGGCAACCGAAAAGTACAATTTTGCCGTGCAGCTCATCGCTCACTGGCCTTCTCCCTGAGTTCCACCCCACCCATCGTACAATGCAGTGCAATCAACCCATCCGCAACTACCCTAGCCACCATTCCGTATCTAAACATTCGTCCAGCAAAACAGACCAAAGTAATCACCTACCAACTACAAAAAAAAACATCTGGTCTACATTGCAGCCCTCAACGTCCGTACTCTATGTCAAATTGGAGAACAGGCATCTATTGCTGAAACCTTGCTTTCCATCCCTGTCGATGTATGCTGTGTCCCTGAAAAGCGCACACAATATGCCACCTCCGCCGCTTGAGGTGCGCACCTTTGCGATGTGAGGTTGTCTGGCTTAACTAATACAAATGCGATCCGATGCGGTAAACGGTGTTTAATTGCCAATCATCACACGCCCCAACAAACTGCAGTTCTGAAACTGAGAGGGACGAGTTTTGCCTACATCCGTCATGATTGTTTCGGTCAGCAATCCTGGGGGTGATACGAATGCCCTATCTGGACGAATAAGTCCACCATCTCCTGTTCATGTCCAGCACAAACTTCCAGCAAAAGCGGTCACATCATATATTTGGAGGCGATCTACCACAAGACAGTCGTAGGATCAATTGGACCATATGGTTATCAGTTACCGATGGGGAGCCCCAGTTAAGGATTGTCGTTCCTTCTGGGGTACGCAACCTGACTCTGATCACGCCACCGTGTGGTCCTCTTAGCACTTCGCTTTCCGCCAGCACTAAGTGTGTCAAAGCGGGAAGAATCCGTTCACCAACTTCGAAAACTTTCAGTAGCTGAGCAGTACGGAACTGACCTGGCTAGAAAACTAATGGAAACGCAGTCATGCGGATGAAGAAGATTGCTTAGGGGTTGAATACAGGCGGGCTTAAGAAGCTATCAGAACTATTTGTGCAAGCCATCCGATTTAAATACTGGATATCGTCCAGATCAGTGGACCTTATTGCTGCGAGAAAGGCCATATCGACAACTATCAACTATGATGGCGCACGCGAATCCCTCAAATACCGGATAATCAGGAGCTTGAAGAATGACAGAGAACGCTAGTGGGTTTCGAAGGCCCAAGAGAAGGAGAATGCTTTCACTGCAGGCAACAGCCACGCCCTGTTTCAACTGATTCGGTCAACGGTCAAAAAAGGCAGGTGTCAGTGGAACAATATGCGTAAAAGACATATCAGCGGTTGACTCCCTCAATCGCCGTCTTGGGCGGGGAGCTGAGCACTTCAAAGAACAGTTCAGCTGGTCACCCTCACCGCGGAAAGAACGAAGCGGGCCGAATTGAACATTGACGCCAACCCACCATGCGCAGAAGACACACGCAGGTTACCAGTGTTTGACCATCAGTCTTTGAATGATTCACTGGTCGGGTCTGGTGGAAACATCGGACTAGTAATGCCAGGGTACGCCAGATGGTACCATGAAAAATGAACTATTCTGTGAGGGATCAATTACTCACGTTCATAGGTTATACTGTTGAGGGAAGGCACTCCGCATGCCAGAAGACCGACTGCCTAGCAGAGTTTTTTTCCCGGCGCTGTGATGAGGTGGACAGTGTGTCACCTGGCAGGGGACCAAGAAAACACTAACCAGTAAACTTAGTCGGGTCAACAACTGTCGTCTGTCTGGATGGGGACCCTAGGACTCAACTCACCAATGGTTAATGACAATGAAGAAGATGGCTCAATCGCGCAGTCAGTGGCATTTGTGCATCAAAGCTATCGTCTTCAATGCTAGCTATCCAGTCCCCGAAATAACCAGATGTGCCATCGCATCCAAGGCTTGGCTGTATGTTCCATACCGCCCCACTTTCCGGTGGTCGAAACTGTAGCAGCTGGAACCAACGTGCCCATGGTACAGGGTTTATAGCTAATACATTGAATCGAATTGAATGCAAGACATCGCATCCGTGGGGCTCAAGGAAGACTACTACCGTATCGGAAACCAAAAAGGGCGTCAACAGTTCAGTCAGCAACACCATCCGAGGGCAGCCATATAAGAAACCCACAGTCCAAAACTGTATCTGCAGTATTCCAAGTTGAGTTCGGGTCCCGAAAGAAATTCCCTACAGGTTTCATCAACGACATCCCAACACGTCTGCAGCTTGGCAATGCTTCAAATATCATGTTGATCTCACGTTTCGTTTGGAAGATAACAGCAAAGTCTGTTGTGTGGTTCACGAATCATTTGGGCAAAAGTGCATCTGGCAATACCCTACTGCCGACTGGCCAGTTCGCCATTATCGACAGTATGACATTAGTGTTCCATACCGATTCTTCACTGCCATGCAACCATGATTTATTTGAAAGCTTTATTGAGAATAAAAGAATAAAGGTGGATGGGAAGGGGAGTTACTGCTAGCTTTATAGGTGCCTACATCTATAGACACTTATTCAGGCAATTTGGATAGAACGCCACTGATATCGGTTGGTAGCCATATCTTGTGGCGTCTCCAACAACGCGCAGTAGGGATCACGCGGTCTACATCCTGGAACCCAAGTAGCACACAGCACCCAAGCATTCCTAAGGGTCACCATCATCATCATCATCATCATCATCATCATCATCATCGACAGCATGACATCAGTGTTCAACACCGATGCTTCACTGCCGTACAACCATGACTTATTT